TCATATTTAAAACCAATCAGTTGTGGTAAAAGTGAAACTGAGTAACACAACTGAAAACAAACTAATACTCTAGACTGGAAATCAGATGTTTAAGACATCATTTTGGCATCACTTCACTGCTTTTGACTAAGAAAGGACAGCCTTTGTAAATAACCACTGATTAAAGTAGCTTGTTAGTTAAATAGTATTCAAAGTAAGACACAGCAAAGATGCCACAATGATGGAGTTCTCAATTATATTACAATAAAGTTAGCTGGTGTTATCACAGTTATAGAATTCTTTACACTGTGATAAGATCAAAATAATTGATTGGTGTGCTTTCTACTGAGAATCTGAATAGTATGAGAAAGTATGTATCTGAATGTTAATAGTATGCACACAAGTGCCATTTACATAAAGATCCCCTTCCACTGGCTATTTACCTTTGGAATGATAGTATGTGATAGTTTGAACTGGCTTTATAGAAGCAAGTAAAGCAATCTTATTGACAAAGCACCTTGTGATGAATATCACTTTGTACCCCAGAGAGTATTTAGAGGACAGATTTTATTACCATAAATTTCAAAATATCAAATAACATTCATTGTTATAGACATTCAAAATTTTTAATGAATTCCACATACTTTTCAAGTTAGTATGGAGCTGACAGGTAAATACAGAACTGATTATTTTTATTATGTAAACTTAAGACTCGCATCCTTTTATATCAGTGAACCATTTGAACTGTGATTATTAGGACACAAAAGTGTCACTATCTAAAATGTAGAGATTGAGAATTTTAGCAAATTAGAATTTACAGGGATCCAAATCTGACAGTGGCTTTAGGTCCAAATCTGAGAAAAATACTTGCAAGAGAGAGTAAGTCAAACGATTCCATATAAATAACAAAAATCTATTAGCAGAGGTTCAAACTGATATTATAAAGCTTACCTAAAATGTTAAGCTTTTCTAAAAAGATGCTGTACTACATATTCATAAAATATTACACATATTTTACAATCTACAAAATATTGATATAATTATTTATATCTGAAATAAAAAAACCCTGAAAACTTTATTAAGATTTATTGCACACTATATATATTTATCTAATCTTAGAAAATGACCATATCAACACTGAACTTCATGTAACAGTATTTCAAAGGCAGTCTAACGCAGTGGTATGCATGATAAGAGTGTAAGCTGTGATCTAGATGATCAAGTTGTCACCTGTATATCAAAGGCACAACATAGGCTAAGGAAGACTATAACAGTTTGTGAGAAGGCTAGTGTACTGTAGGACCACCTCAGATCTCATGTTTGCAGTAAATGTTAGTTACTATTGATGAGATTACTGTATTCACCCAGAAGGATTTTTTCCTTTAAGTTAAAAATCAGGAGTTACCTTTAATTCAGGACCATTTTCCTTTCTTTTTAATGTATCTGTATAGTGATAGGCAAACTTGGTATGATACAGTCTTAGCGTGCTATACGCAACTTATTGGCTCAACTCACATATTTGGTAGATATTAAGAAAATCTATGGTTTTGTACGTATTTCTTTAAGATCTTAGGGTGTTGTGAATGCAAAAAAAAAAGTCAGCAATACTAAAAAGCTAAAAAAATTGCAGCATTATGTCAGTCACTTTTACATGAAGAAAGTAATCCACCTTATGCAGCAGAAGGTGGAGCCACAGTTGATAAAACCCTACTCCAAGAGCAGATGAAGGCTGAAGAAAAACAAAGAAAAGGACTTCAAAACCGAAGGAGAATCTAGGACAGGTTAAATATCTGTGTTGTAAATGAGACCAGTGGTTAACAAAACAAGCTTAGGATGATAAAAATCCTGATTAAGCACTGAATAGCAGCTCTGGCCTTGAACAGTATGGGCACAGGTTGAAAGCAGATGCTCCAAAACTGTAAACAAGCTACTAATGGCCAGTTAATGGTCACTGAAAAAAAGCACAATCTCAAGTACTGTTAAATTGCTTCTTTTACATTAAGAATAGAAGCAGCAGCTATGCAAAGGAGAAAAATCCAGCTGAAAGTCCTGCTGCAACCTGTGGAATTAACAGGATTCTGCATTGTGTAATCTAGGGATAGACAAGAGGGTCAGGAAGTGATAAGAAACTAAATCATCTTATAAAACAATAAGACCACAAACTTGGTGTGGGGAAGGGAAGATAAGATGGTAGAGAAGAAAAAAAAATACCCACTTCGGTTCTAGCTTCCCTTGGACACTGGAAGCCATCATTGCCAACTCTACAGCATCAGTTCCATGGGATTTTATATTAATATGAAATCTAAAACACAGTTGTTAAGGACTGACTATTTTGAATATGCAGTGGTAGGGATGGATAGCAAGAACTAATCTGTAGTTTTAATGACAAATAATGCGTAAGAATAAGTTATTAGAACAACCAGTGTTGTTAATTATTGTCAGACCAGCAAAGTGAAGTTGTTTTGTTGTTGTTTTGGGTTTTTTGGGGAGTATTTTGTTGTTGGTTGTTTTGTGGTTTGTTTGTTTTATTGTTTTTGGTTGGGTGTTTTTTGTATGTTTTGGGTTTGGTTTTTTT